TCCCTACAGCACAAATCAGAACATCGCATTCCCCACCTAAAGAACCAGCAATGGCTCCTCATTGCCTCCAGAGTGAAGTCCCAACCCATAATCTGGATTCAGAGCCTCCTGCGATCACTCCAAACTGCCTTTCTGAGCTCATAACTCCCTTCCTCCTTCACCGTGTCACCAAGATGTCTGCTGATGCTCCCCAGAGCATTTATATCCTCCCTCTTGCCCTGCTTCCATGTTGGGCAACATCCGGGAATTTGGAGTTGGAAGCCCCACTGATGTCTTGTGGCAAGACCTAACTGGGTGTACTTTGGTGGATCCACACTAAGTCCCTCTGTGTGGGAGGAAAAGGGCTGGAACTTTCCTTCTGTGAACCTTAGAAGCCAGCCAGACAGAAAAGTCACTTTGTACTCAAACAGCCCTTGCCAAATAGTTTACAATTCCCAGCTATGCTAAAGGGATGGAGAAAATAAGTGGATGCTGACTCATCACTTATTTTGCATTTAGACCCACTGACGAGTTCCAGGCCAGCTGGGACTCAGTTCATGAGAGGAAAAATGGGCTTTTTAATTTGCTGAGGGACTTATAGCAGTCATTCTGCTGGGCATAACTGAAACCACGACTCTAGCATGTTCTCAGGAACATTATCAGACAGCTGGGATTCAGTTGGAGACATATCCAGCCAACCAGACACGTCCACGCAACTGCTGTGCTTCGGAGCTGCTCTCAGCATATCGGCATTCTTTGCCCTTGCTTTTTATCTCCCAGTTTTAATTATTTATATATGTGTATATATTAGTTTGCTATAGCCACATATGCCTGTTGGGGAGAGAGGGAAAAGGGGGAGGGTAAGTGTCCCCCCCCCCCCCAGGGGATGGCCTTGCCACAATCCCTTGTCCTCTATTCTTCTCTTGGGATTTTGGGCATGCACACACATGTGCCTAGCATGTTTCTCAATCCTCCAGGTCTGGGACTCAAACTGCATGTTCAGCCACACCAAACCCAGCTGCCTTACCCTCTCTGCCACCTATTGGCCCCAAATCATTATTATTATTATTATTATTATTTTGAGAGTTCTTTTTGCTATAGGGCAATAGGGCATGTGCGCTCACCAGAAAGACAGAGACAGAGAGACAGAAAGCGAGAAATCACCCCCCAGGGGGAATGGCCATGCCACAATCCCTTCCCCTCCATTCTCCTCTTGAGATCTTGGGCACGCATGCACACGCACCCAGCGTGAGTTTAAGCCACCAGGTCCAGGATTCGAACCAGCGACATAGCCATTACACCAACTGCTGCTCCCAGTCCCAAGTCATTTTAATTTTGTTTCCTTAAGAGAATATTATTATGCTTAATATATTACATATGTGGGAACCAGCAGTTAGTGTAATGGCTGTGTCGCTGGACTCCCACGTAGTCGACCGCGGTTCGCGTCCTGGACCCGGTGGCTTAAAACTCACGCCAGGCGCGTGTGCGTGCGTGCCCAAGATTCCGAGAGGAGAATGGAGGAGAAGGGATTGCGGCGTGACCATCCCCCCGGGGGGTGATTTCTCGCTTTCTGTCTCTATGTCTCTCTCTGTCTGTCTGGCGAGCACACGCACCCTATAGAAAAAATCTCTCCAAAAAAAAAAAAAAGAATATATTACATATGTTATTGAAGTATATAAATTAATAATGGTGTTTAGACTCTTTATAGACTCTTTATTCGTTTTTTTTTTTAAGAGAAATTTTTACTATAGGGTATATGCGCTTGCCAGAGTGACAGAAAGTGAGAAACCGTGCCCCCCATCCCCAGGATCAATGGCCACACTGCAGTCCCTTCTTCTCCATTCTCCTCTTTGGATCTTGGGCAGTCATGTACGCACATGCACCCAGCATGAGTTTTAAGCCACTGGGTCTGGGACTCAACTCACGGTCGATTACGTGGGAGTCCAGTGAATGTAACCATTACACCATCCACTGGTCCCAGAAGTTAGACTCTCAACATAAGCCTTTCCATCTTTCCATGGCAAAAACGATAAATATTTCTATGTTGGCTGCCATATAGCTGGCGCTTAGAGAGTTGAAAATTATCAGCTGGGCCCAGCCATACTGACTTGTGCTGCTAGAGCTCTGCTCTGCAGACTGGGACCACATGGAAGGCCTGGATTTTTTTCTTGCTCCAACCTTAGGGCTGGGTGTAAAGACTTTAGATGGTCCTAGGTCAGAGCAGAGGCAGGGCAGCCTCTCCTTGCCCACTGCAGCTGACTGCTGGGGGAGACAAGTACAAATCAAACGGTCACACAGACATCCAAAAGTAATGTCAGCTACCGAGTCCAGACGATGTGTCAGTCCGTGGTTTTTAGAGTCCCCTTGGAGATGTGGGAGGCTGAGATCACACGTGGCTTTCATATAAATCATTTAGATGCTTCACTCTCCAGGAGTTGGTGCACTCTTTTAATGACTCCCTTCAAAAGAAGGAAGAGTCATTTTACAGTGGAGAAACCTCACAGGAACTGCCTCGGCAGGAGGTCAAGGTCAGCCCCACCAGTGACGCGCCGTGGGATATTAAGTACCCTTGTTAGGATGTGAAGAGAACAACAATTTGCTTCAGGGGTCTTCCTCCCAACGTAATCGTGATAACAGCAGACACATGCCAGTGGAGGGACATTCTACAACATGCCTGACCTCACTCCTCAAAACTGTCACCAAAACTGGTCACCAAAAACAAAGAAAGTCAGAGAAACTGTCACAGCCAAGAGGAGCCTAAGGACACTGATGACTAAAATAGTATGTAAACCTCAACAAACCTCTGCATAAAGTTTTGACAAGTTCATAGCATGTCAATATTGGTTAACCGTGACAAATACACCACACGAATATAAGATGTTAAGTAAGAAAAGGAAAACTAAGTGTGGGGTATGTGGGAATTCTCTGTACTATTTTTGCAATTTTCCTTTAAATCTAAATGATCCAAAAATAGAATACTTATTAAAAAATAATCATCCATGGTAAAAGATCCGTTCAGAGTATAAGGTGGCCCAACAGGTTTTAATGTAAAAATTATTTGAATAATCAACCTTATCAGAGAATTCCTCTGTTATCTGGAAATACTACTAAAATACCCCTCTTTTTTTTTTTTTCAACTTCACATCGGTGTGAGGCCAGATTTTTGCCCCATATTTCAACCACAGCAACATGATACAAAATACAAAGTGCAGAAGCCGCCAAGAATATCCAGCTCTCTTAAGAAAGTCATGAAAGAGATTTGCAAAAGTGTAAAAACAATGTTTTACGCTTTTTTCCTTGGGGCTATCGGGTGGCATAGTGGTTAAGGCACTGGACTCCCACATGGCCAACCATGGTTCAGGCCCAAAATCCAGCAGCTTGAAAATCATGCCAGCACATGTGCATACATGTGCACCCAAAATCTGCAGAGAATGGAGAAGAGATTTCAGTGTGGCCATTCCTTCTGGAGCGTTATTTCTCACTTTCTGTCTCTGTCTCTGTCTCTCTCTCTCGTAGGTGTACACATCCTATGGGAAAGCCTAAAAAAAAAAAAAAGTTCTTCTTGCCAATTTTTTTTCCTTAAAAATAGTTATTTTTAGTAACAAAAAAAGACTTACTGTCATTTTAAAGTGAATAAATAAATACATTTTTTCTGTTTTAATTTCTTTTATGGTAATTACCAGTAACTGTTACCCACATGAATGAAACTGGCAGAAGTCTCAATGATTTTTAAGAGTATAAAATGTCCTGAGTCCAAATAATTTGAGAATAACACTTAGTCTTCACAGACAGCCTTTTAGGTAGGCAATATCATTATACCACATTGCAGATGATGAAACTGAAGGACAGAGAAGTATATAACGCCCAAGTAAGCTGAGTTGGGACTCAAACCCGTGACACTCTGCTGTTCTGACTGCACTATATCCTTGTGTTTGCCTCATTCTTCCAGGTCTGTGAGCTCTGCAAAGGAGCAGCCCCTGCAGACAGCCCTGTGGTCTACGCGGACAGGGCAGGCTACAGCAAGCAGTGGCACCCCACCTGCTTCGTGTGTTTTAAGTGCTCCGAGCCACTGGTGGACCTCATCTACTTTTGGAAGGATGGTGCGCCCTGGTGCGGCCGCCATTACTGCGAGAGTGTGCGGCCCCGGTGCTCTGGCTGTGATGAGGTAAGAGCCTGGTGGGGCTGGGGGTGAGGGCAACCCCACTGCTGTGGGAGAGAACTCACAGGCTAATGTCAGTGTGGCTTGGTTAGTAATGTAGATTGGGAAACAGACTTGGGCATCACGACATCCTCTTGGCCTCCATTTTCTCATCAGCAAAATGGGCTAATACCAGTTCCCTCCCATGGGAGTGTTGGGAAGGAACAGATGCAGAGTGCTGTTAAGTCTGGTCATTGGCCCAGAAGAACATCATAGGATGCACCAGGGCAGACTGCCCATGTTCAGACCTGGCTCTTAACTCCATTAGTCATGTGGTTACCTGACTCCTGTGACTCAGTTTTCTCTCATTAAGTGGGAACAGGAAGAATACTTGTCCCATGGAGCGGCTATGGGGATAACTGAGATAATGTATGAGTGCACAGGGCCTGACCTGGTAACTAAGAAACAGTAACTGCTCTTAGTCTTGTGAATATGTAATATAATATTATGATGTTAAAGTAATATAATAAAGTAGAGATGCTATGAGAAGAGCTCAAGACTCTTACACGGGTGTAGATGAGAGGAAGTCCAAAGTATATTAATAATGACAATACTAGGTATGATGTTAGTAAGTATTGTCTGCATGCCTTTCTTGGCAAGAAACACCCTGCCTTCGTCTTTGGTGCATAGGAGGTTAGAAAGGTCTCCACATTGACCCACGATCTGCCTCCTACCACCCTCTGCTATTGGTCTCCATATGAAGTTAAGAACCTGCAATCCTCTTACCTAATAACCGTGTTATCCAGTGATTATTAAGAAGGAAAAGAGAGCCAGCCGGTGGCCTGGTGGTTAGGTTGGCTGGATCCAACATAGCCGAGTGCATGGTTAGAGTCTTGGACCCAGCAGCTTAGAAAACATGCCAAGCACATCTGCATACATGCCTGAAATCTGGAGGGGAGAATGGAAGGAGAAAAGATCGTATGGTCAACACCCTGGGGAGTGATTTCTCACTTTCCCTAATTTCTCTGTCTCTGAGCAGTGAGTGCACATGCCCTATGGAAAAACTTAAAAAATGGAAAAGGACTATGGCAGGCTTGCCCCAGGTCCTTAGTTTTGAGGGGACAATTCCCAGTGCACTCACAGTCATGATTCTCCATCATTTTACTAAGAGCTTCCAATGGGTCAGTAATTTGCTACACACTTTCTATCTAATGTACCATTTAGATCTCAACAACAATCTCTTAGGGGGACACTAACATATTGTCCATTTTATATCTGAGAAAAGCACAACTCCAAAAGCTTAGTGATAATCATACAGCACTAATCTTGTGCAAGTCACTCTTCCAAACATTCCATGTAGAAAAGCTCACTCAGAAAAACCCTGCAAAGGGCTGGACAGTGGTGCAGCAGTTAAATACATGCCCATAATATGGGGCTGGCTGGTGCTGGGGCTGGATCACGGCATTGAGACCCTGTTGGGGGTCTCTCTCTCTCTCTCTCTCTCTCTCTCTCTCTCTCTCTCTCGCTCCTGGAAATAAATTAATGAATGAATAAACAAACAAATAAATAAATAAATACACCTATGAGACTGGAAGTATTTTTGTCCCCACATGTTGTTGAGGTTCAGGAAAATTATTTATCATTCCTGAATCACAAGGCTGGTAAATTGTAAATGAAAACTTGGGGAACCAGCAGTTGGCATAATGGCTATGTCGCTGGACTCCCATATAGTCGACCGTGGTTCGCGTCCCAGACTCGGTGGCTTAAAACTCAGGCCAGGCGCATGTGCATGCGTGCCCAAAATCCCAAGAGGAGAATGGAGAAGAAGGGATTGAGGCGTGGCCATCCCCCCTGGGTGGGGGGTGATTTCTCGCTTTCTGTCTCTCTGTCTCTCGCTGTCTGTCTGGCGAGCACATGCGCCCTATAGTAAAAACCTCTAAAAAATAAAAATTTAAAAAAAAAAAAACCTCATACCCAGCTCTTGTTTGACTCCAAAACCAAAAGACCAAGCTAACCAGTAGACTGCTGACTTTTCTCTTGGCCTCGGGGTTTCCTGGCCATATGTATATTCCAGCATTTCACTTTATTGCAAGCCCCAGTGACCCTCTATCTGCTGCTCTTGGAAAATTAGCCTTTGGCAACGTATCGAGCTGTCTTCAGCATTTTTTCAGGAGAGTAAGCCCATCTAGATCACAACTGGATTTTGGCTCTGACCCACAGAATATCACGGATGCTCGATAAGTAACACCTGCCTGTCTGAGAAGCTAGGATGCAACCCTGACTAGAACCTGTCTATACTGCCTCAGATTTATGTCAGGTTTCTCCAGGGAGGCTTTTAAAAGTCAAACCAACGGAACCAGCAATTAGCGTAATGGCTATGTCGCTGGACTCCCACATAGTCTACCGCGGTTCACGTCCCGGACCCGGTGGCTTAAACTCAAACTGGGCGCGTGTGCATGCGTGCCCAAGATCCCAAGAGGAGAATGGAGGAGAAGGGATTGCAGCGTGACCAACCCCCCTGGGGGGTGATTTCTCGCTTTCTGTCTCTCTGTCTCTCTCTGTCTTTCTGGCAAGCGCACGCACCCTATAGCGAAAATCTCTCCAAAAAAAAAAAAAAGAAAGTCAAACCAAGAATAGGATGAGATGAACCACCATCCTATAACTTGTCCTAGATAAGTCATGCGTTTTTTTGCTCCCCTTCCAAGATAATCTTCTCAGAGGACTATCAGCGCGTGGAAGACCTGGCCTGGCACCGGAAGCATTTTGTCTGTGAGGGCTGTGAGCAGCTGCTGAGTGGCCGGGCGTACATCGTCACCAAGGGTCAGCTTCTGTGCCCGACTTGCAGCAAATCCAAGCGCTCCTGAAGGGCTGCCCGCCCACAGCAACCACAACATCCCACCAAGAAGAAAAAAGTCAGGTGTGCTGAAGCTGTCCTAAGCCTCTGATGCCACAGCCACCCAGCAACGCACACAGTGGTTCTTTCTCTAGGTTGGGTAGTGGTGGTGGATCCTATGAGGGTCGGTAGTTGCAAAACCAGAAATGTTCTAAGAAGTCTTAGGATGGAGTTATTTTTGTTTTTGTTGATTCCCAGCTACAACCAACTGAGGACAAAAATGGCACCAGCAACGGCTCTAGAAAGACCTTCTCAGAGTTCAGTTCTGATGGTCAGATCATACAGCTGTAGAATGCACGTGCCTTTTCTGGATGGGGGGCTCCTCCAGAAACAGGCTGGGATTTCAGCTCTCACTCATTGCCTCCTTTTCAAGTGAAATTTGAATTTTAAATAAACAACCTTTTCTTGGCATGATAAACATATCAATAAAAGTTTTGTGAATTCCACATATGCCCTTATCCAATTATTTACACCATTGCAGAGCTTTTACAACATCCACTTAAGGCCACGATTCCCCACTCTGGTGCTAGCAGAAAATACCATCAATTCAAATACACCTCTTTGTCGATGCGTCTCACTAGACTCCTGTCAGGTGAGTGGGTCCTGGGGCAGGTCTCCTCTCCTTCCCACCACTTCCAGGTCCTCCCAGTTCCCTGGTGGACACGTTTATGTCTCATTTCACTGTGCGCCAAAAAGTGGCCTCCTAGGAACCGATGAGCTTCTCGGTAGCTGGGGTCAGACTCAGCTGTCCTCAGAGACCAGGCAGATAATAAGTGAATACATATGGGGGTAGGACCAGGTACAATGTAGAGAAGCAACCAAATAGGGCCACCCACACACTACCGATGAATGTCACATGGGACACTGAGACCATAGTCAGTGGATATTTAGAAATATGGGATTTTTTTTTTTAACCTAGCTAAGGTAGTAGCATGAACCACACGCTGCTACCTGGCAGGCTGAGATCACATCTGAGGCCCAGGTTTGATTCCTGACCCACCCTAAAAAACATTGGGCACATTAGCACGCACCTGTGTTCCAGCTACTCAGGAGGCTGAGGCAGGAGGCGTGACATAGTGAGGCCCTGTCTAAAACAACACACATGCACATACACATACATACACACCACAAAAAATTAGAATTTTTATGAGAAATCTCTTGATTTTTAAATGTTGCCAACTGAACATTGAACGAGCCAAATAGAATAGATCTTTGGACCAGATTTTACTTCCCCTTATGATCATTTTCAGCCCTCAAGCTAATTTCCTTCCAACAAATTCTAAGAGAAAATATTTATTTTTCTACAGAGATATAAAGAAGACAAATGTCCTAGGAGCTCCCATCCACTCAATGGTCATCTTTCTTAGACTACCCCTCCTCTTGGCATGTTCCTTTAATTTCTTTTCTGTTTTTAAGCTTTTTGCCATAGGACACATGCACTTGCTGCAGAAAGACAGAGAGACAGTGAGAGGGAAATTGAGAAATCACCTTCCACGGTGATGGCCTCACTGCAATCCCTTCTCCTCCATTTACCTGGAGTTTTGGGCACATACACAGACACGTGCCCATTGTGAGTTTCAAATGGCCAGATCTGGGACTCACACTGTGGTTGGCCATGTGGGAATCCAGTGCCTTAACCACTGCCTCACCTGCTGGCCCCAAGTTCTTTAATTCTGTCACCCCAACTTTGCTCTTGCCATTTCTTATGGAAATTGTGTGTGTGTGTTATGAGTTTGACCCCAGTCAGTTGCCTTTCTGGCCTCAGAACCCTTTGTTTGCTACATTTCTCTCTCCCCAGTTCTCCTAAGCATGTGGAAGTTGCCTTCAGTGGAGTATTTCCCTGTGCCATGCTGATTACATGAAGGCCAAGCGGTCTGTGGCATTCCTACCATCCTGTGAGATGCTTCTCACACATACCCCGCTTCTCAGGCCCTTCCCCGAAGCACCAGTGGGATATTCACTTGCTCGTTTACCCCTTCCACAAACTTTCGCTGAGCACTACACAGTTCTAGCCCCCATGCTAAAGACGGGATACAGCATGCACAGAAAGAGCAAAGATCCCTGCCCCATGGATTTTATAGTCTGTGAAGGACGTGGGGCTCAGGCAAATACTCCCACAAGGCAATGTAAAATGACGACAACTGTGGATGCTATAAAGGGAAGGATTCTGTTAGTATACAACATAAAAGAAGTCTAGCTAAGGTGGCACAGCCCCTGGTGTGCTGGACTGCTGTATTGGATGCCACATGCTGAAGATGGTTTCTAATTGGTGAGACAGCCTGAGGACAGTGGGGTGTGCATGTGGGCACCCAGGATCCTGGGGGTCTGGATTGAGGGGAAAGGGGATTGCAGCATGATGAGACCCTGTTGACCATTCTCTCTCTCTCTCTCTCTCTCTCTCTCTCTCCAGTGAGCACAAGCACTCTAAGGCCAAAACAAAACAAAAAGAACTCTTAATTTTTTTTTTTAATAAAATGGTGACATGTTGACTCTTGCATGATTTCCTCCTTCGTGTCAGTAGAGGAGGAGCTGCCCTTCTCATCTCTCTCTAGGAAGACTTCCCTGGCCTTTCGTCCCACTGGGGAGTTGTAGATGTCCTTTCTCTGTTCAATCATCATACTCCAGGCTTAGAGGTTCACCTGGCTTCTGTTGTGCTGTAATTATTTGTTCATGAGAGGCTCCCTTTATGAACTTCTTTTATTTATTTATTCTTTTCCTACAAAAACTTAATTCAGTTCATGCAAAAAACATTGGCAAAATAAATTTTGCTTACAATTTGACATGCATAAAATATACAGGTGATATTTATAACAATGTCTTACAGATACAAGGTAATAATAAACAACAGCCTCATTTTTACCATCTTTTGATGGTAAACATGTTGCACACTAGTCAGTCTTATCTTTTAGGCAAAGTGCTCTTTTGATGAAAGATAAATTAACAGAAACACACTATTGTGAACTATTTCAGACAACACACATAAAGGGGTTTTGATTTGTTTTTCTCTTGTAAACGCAAGTTTATCATTTATAATATTTTCTCTCTTTTTTTTTCACACCCACCATCCCTCACTCTCTACCAACCACTTTCCCCCCTTACTGTCACTAGTGTCCACACCAGTCCTTTTCACCATCACATCTTCAGATCTCTCAACCTCGGCCATAAGTGCAGACATTCAGTACAAATTGATTGGGGATATACATTGTGTGTCTTTTACAAACTGATTCACTTCATCCAGTATTAAATCTTCTATATCCATCCATTTTGAGTCAAATGATAGGATTTCATTGTTTCTTTTTTTTTTAATTTTTTTTCGAGAGATTTTCACTATAGGGCACGTGCGCTTGCCAGACAGACAGAGAGACACATAGAGACAGAAAGCGAGAAATCACCCCCCAGGGGGGATGGTCACGCCGCAATCCCTTCTCCTCCATTCTCCTCTCAGGATCTTGGGCACGCACGCACACGCGCCCGGCGTGAGTTTTAAGCCACCAGGTCCGGGACGTGAACCGTGGTCGACTAGCGACATAGCCATTATGCTAACTGCTGGTTCCCAGGATTTCATTGTTTCTTATAGCTGTGTAATATTTCATACTATATATGCCACAGTTTTTCAGCACAATCATCAGTTTTTAGACACTTAGGTCAGTTCCGTGTTTTAGCAATTATAAATAATGCTGCATTAAATATAAAAGTGCAGATGTCTTTTCAATTGAATGTTTTCTTATCCTTTGGATAGATACCAAGAAGTGGAGTTGCTAGGTCATATGGAAGTTCTCTTTGTAGATTATGATATAAACGGACTTTCCCAGACTCCTTTGCAGCTAGAGAAAAAGCACATGATTCAGTGCTGACCAATGAGGCTTCTCCATTGGGAAGCTTCTTAGAAAAGTCTCCTTCCTTAATAAACAGAGATTCTCTGAAAGAAATAGTTCTGATTTCCTTTTCTTTCTTTTTGATAGAATTTCAAATTTGCACACACACCAAAAAAAATGATAGGAAAAGAACGCAGAGCCATTTGAGGCTGTTGTGGACATAGTGCTCCACCGCCTCAGCATATTTTAGTGTATAATTCTACAAAGGCACTCTCCTACATAACCACAATACTACCATCAAAATCAGGACATTGGGAACCAGCAGTTAGCGTAATGGCTATGTCGCTGGACTCCCACGTAGTCGACCGCGGTTCGTGTCCCGGACCCGGTGGCTTAAAACTCACACCGGGCGCGTGTGCGTGCATGCCCAAGATCCCGAGAGGAGAATGGAGGAGAAGGGATTGTGGCGTGACCATCCCCCCAGGGGGGTGATTTCTCGCTTTCTGTCTCTATGTCTCTCTCTGTCTGTCTGGCGAGCGCACGCGCCCTACAGTGAAAATCTCTCCAAAAAAAAAAGTCAGGACATTAACCCTTATGTATTTCTACCATGTAACCCTCAGATTCAGTTCAGGTGTCATCAATTGTTCCAATAAGACTTTTTATAACAGAAGATCTAGTTCAGGATCATATATCCCATTTAGTTATGTGATCTTTTGGTCTTCTTCAGTTTGGATGTATTCCTGTTCTGCTCTTACCAGTCATGACTTTGAGATCTTAGAAGATTAAAGGCTGATTATTGAGTACAGTGTCCACCAAATTGGGTTTACCTGATATTTCCTCGTAATTAGATTTAGGTTATGCATTTTTGGTAGGAAGACCACAAAAGCAATGTATTTCTTTTTCTATGCATCTGACCAGATGGTCTAGAATTTTTATTAGTCCCTTTAGTGTTAATATAAATTTGAGGGACTAGCACTTGATGTAATGTCTAAGTCATTGAACTCCCATGTAGTTGACCATGGTTCGAGTCCTGAACCCAATGGCTTAAACTCATACCAGGGGTGTGTGCATGCGTGCCCAAGATCCTGAGAGAAAAATGGAGGAGAAGAGATTGTGGTGTGGCCATCCTCTCTGGGGGGTGATTTCTCACTTTCTGTCTCTCTGTCTCTCTCTGTTTTTCTGTCAAGTGCATGAGCCCTAAAGCAAAAACCTTGAACACTTGATTACATTAGTAACTGGTAGATTTTTTTCCAATGTAAATTTAGGCCTTTTCCCTTTGCGTTTAGTAAGCATTTTGTAGGGTGGTTCTTTGAGAGTCTATCAATATCTCATTCCACATCAAAATGCCACCCACTGGTTTTTAGTAAGCAGTGAATGTTTCTTGGTTGAATTAATTATTATTATGATAGTTGCCAAATGTTGACTTTTCATATTTAATTATCCTATGCTTATTAAAATGTATTAATTAGCATTTTAATATAAGGAAGAACTCTATATTCTCCCCATTTATTAATTTATTTGTTTATATTAATTTAGAGTTATGAATTCCTATTTTGTTAAATTACTTATAATCTACTACTACCCTTATTTATTTTAATGTTCAAATTATCCAACACTTAGCCAAAGAAAGC